GTAGTTCTGTTCATTGCTGTTAAAATATATATATAAAAATGTAAAACCAATTTTTGAAAAGGTATTTTCTAGTCTTTCGATTTCCTAAAAAAGGCTTTAAACTTGCAGAAGCTTTTTTCCTATAACAAACCGCCTATGAAAATATTATTTTGCACCTGAAAGCTAAACATTTAGAGATGGATGGGAACATTGGGAGACAGCAAACTGTCGATATTGATAAAACTGTTGTATGAGCTTGTTCTATGTACTCTACATTTACAGCATCATATATACATCTACTCAATATTATATATATTATATATATATATATATATATATATATATCATACCCATACTCATATTGCTCCAGTTGGTGCTGGCTTGAAGTAAGTACCAAGCCAAAGAGAGCATCCCTTTAGTGTTAAAGCGCAAGCGTGGTTTTTGATGATAGTTAATTATCTTGTTTGAAAAATATAAAACCGTTAAGCTATATAGCAATTAAGCATCTTATTGTAGAAGACACGTTCTAAAATAATCGATAAATTGTGTCTTGAACAAGTTATAAACTATAAAAAAATGTTCAAAGAGCGCATGCGCAGCTAAAATTTTTATTTGAAGTAATTTATTTTGACAAGGCGGTGGGGATGACTCTATAGTAGTACGGATGTTGAAGATGTACTCATATATACAAGTCATACATTATATATATATATATATATATATATATATATATATATACAGGGCCGGTCCTACCTCGAATGCGAATCATGCAAAAAATGCGGGCGCACGCCTTAGGGGGCGCCAAAACGAGATTCGGATATGAAATTTATAATATAGTATTTCAATATCATTCAAAATATATATATTTTTTGCATCTTTTACTAATCTTGGACAATATTTTTTAAACTATAAAACAACAATCTGATACACGATCAATTAGAAGAAGTTTACGATGCAATTTTAGATATTTTAAATAATGAAAAATTAAAAAATGAAGTACCAGTGTTATGTTTAATAATGAGAAGCTAGAATTTTTTTGCTCTCTATGATTTGTTCAATAGAATAAATCGCAGAAAATCGTTTTTGAGAAAAATTCAACAAAATGTCGAAATTGGCTTACATACACACATCTATACGTTTTTCAATTTTGGCCTCAAATGATTTAGAATTATTTGAAACACAAAACTGTGACAGAACACAAAATTAACAAATCGGATTTTCTGGCGACAACATAAACTTGCCTTTCGGGAAATTGAATATAATTATAAAAATTCTTCAAAAATATTTTTTATTTAAATAAGTACAAGGGCAAAGGTATGTTTTTAATCTCGCATATATTTAGGGTCTACATTTTTGACTTCGATTGTCCTAAAAAGATAAAACATTTGGGTGCATTTTTTAATTCTGTTGCAAAATAAGGTATTACCTTATTGTGTTCCTTAAAGGACACACAAAAATCATATGTCTACACCACAGGTAGCAAGAGGATAAGATAAAGTATTCCTTCTTTTTAAGCAAAATTTTAATAGTAATGAAAAGACAAAAGAAAACATGTTGAAGTAATAAACATAGAGACAATTAATTGTGTAATATAACTCTGGACCCAAATTCAAAAGATGAGTTATATCCTCAAATATAGGCCTTTCCGTAGCTTAAGGACTCTGATTGAATAGATTCTGATTACGATTTAAAAAAGCTGATATACATATATATATATATATATATATATATATATATATATATAGCAGAAACTTGCTTGATCAAGGAAAATATGAGTCACCGGAGCTTATAGCAATCTCATAATAAAAAGCAATCAAACCTAAAAAACATCAAACCTCTCACTGAATTAACACAATATATTGTTTATTTATTGATAAATAATATTTTTTAGTAGTTCAAAAAAAATGTTTATAATGTATATTTACCGCTTAAATTAGATCATACCAGCGTGAAACGCTATTTTAAAACGATGTCACGTGCCAAGTCATTTTAAAATATAAATTTGTTATATTTTAAATGCAAATAAATCGTTGCCAGGTGCGTTTTAAGAAAGGTCATGTAAATTATTTTATATTAAGAATTCAATAAATGAAATGTGAAGATTGTAATTATTTCCAGTACAGAACTCGAAATATATGTTAAAGATCATGCCACCACGTGATGACCAAGACTACAATGAGTTGTTGATATAATGACAAAATTGACTTTTACAATGGTGTTTTATAATTTTCTGTTGTTATTCGTTTATCAATTTGATAAACAAAATATCCTGATATCTATTCTTTGATTTAAGCATGTTTGGTCAAACCAAAATCAAATACTATTTCACTAATTGTAAGAAGCGACTTTAATTCTTGAGGATTCACAAAGAATGCATTTGATTCTAAAATGCTATATTTTGTGAACCTGAAAATTCTAGAGGTTTAAAAGTTTCTAGCCTACCTATTATACTGAGTATAATAGGTTGTCAAATATCTCCCTTCCGCTTTTTTGCTCTTGGTTTATAATACAAAAAGGCGGAAGGGAGATATTTGACAACCTATTATTTTTTAAATATAACAGTTTTCAATGTATAATACAAAGAAAGCAATAATGAAGAAGCAATTTTCTTTTGATATTGTTATTTTGGATACTATGTGGTGTTTATTTTTTGCGCAATGTTTACACTAAAATATTCAAGAAATTTAGGGTTTTCAACCATTTTTTTAGTTGAAAAAGTCATGGATATTCATAGAAATCGACTCACTAATTTTATATTTTCTCGACGTTTCAAGTCATTCTGAATTGTTTGAGACCAAAACTTTCAAAGTTCTACCGCGACAATTGTGAAAGTAGTTAAATCTCAATTCCCATTAAGTCGATTATTTACTTATAGTGGGAAGTTTCTGCAACTTGCCTTAAGGAAGATGCCACTTACATATAGTTTAAAGTATTTTCAAGATACTACAATTTTTAGTATGAGATTGAATTGTCTTCCATCAGCTTGTGTCTAAAATACTCTTGAGAAATTAGTTACAGTAAATGACTTTTACAATCCATATAGATTAAAAATTGAAATAATAAAAAAAACGGGATTTTCGAATAAAAGCAACCTTAAGTTTTGTAAAGCAGATTAACAAATTTAAAAAATGCATACTTTTTTAAGATATCAGGCAATATCTGATGAAAAGTATACATTTTTTTAATTTGTTGAGGATTCTCAAATCACTTTTTATCCTTGCCATACATATTTGTCTATTTTATAATTAAAATTAGTTGAGTTACAAATTGGGAATCATATGAATCGAAATGGAATAAAGATATATAAATCTTAATGTAGCGTCATCTAGTACCGCGCGCTTTGATATAAAATTCATAAATGGTGTTTGACTTCAATATAATACACAAAAATATACGTTTATAAACAATAGATTACCAGTAAACAATAGGATAGAATAATAATTAAGTTAATTAATTTATAACAAATATACCAGTGAAACTCACTTAAGATATAATTAATTAAAAGTAAATATAGATTTATATATAAATCTAAACATAAATTAGTGGTGTATGGCATCGTGCCTTAAGGCAAATTGCTGGAACTTCCCTTACCATAATGAAATATTCGAAGAATGAAATTTAGTAAAAAAAAATATTTTTGGATTGAAAAAAATCTTTCCCCAACACAAGCAGAAAGTTTCGTCAACACAAGCGGAAACAGAAAGTTTTTTGAATCATTCAAATCGGATGTTTAATTCTATCGAAAACTGCCATTTTTTCATAACTAGCTCCATATATCAAAAACGGCTAAACCTGCCTTTGCCAAAATCTAATCACCACTTCTCCCCATCATTACGATGTGAATATTTTTTGGATCATTCATTCAGACGCTCCGTTCTTTCAAAAACTCGATTTCTATTTTCTGCACTCTTTGCTCTATAAATCCAAAACGGCTGAACCGACTTTTGCCAAAAACTAATCAGCACATCTCCCTATAAATAATAAGCGAATATTTTTTGAACCATTCAAATCGGTTGATCCGTGCACCCAAAAACGTGGACACAAATTGTATCCATACATGCATACACACATACATAAATCCATTTTTGGATTTACATTAATCCACCCAAAACGTGAAGATATGCAAAAATTTTCAATTTCTGTTTTTGGACGATTAATTTCCCTTCGGGAAGTTGAGAAACTTAAATATATGTACTGAACGTGAAATTTTCAGGAAACAAAAAAATATAGAAACAGCAACATATTTCTTCAAATTATTTGAATAAAATAAAAACGATTGCACCAAACGATAATTTAAACATAAATTATCTATAATTATCAACCTTCCGAAACAGAAGTTTATGCTTTTGCTATAAATTTCGATCTGATAATTTTTCTCGACGTTTCAAGTTATTCTGAATCGTTTGATACCAAAATTATGACCCAAAACTAAGGACTCTAGTTGATTAGTTTGGCGAAACAATCAGCCTAGCCATATAAATTTTTCGTCCATGTTTTAGCCAAAAGTCCTAAACCGGTTTTGGATGTTTAAAAGCTGTTTTAAAAATCTAAGTTAGGAACTGTGCTGATTAGTTCGGGGTCGAGCCCTTTTCTTTATAACATTTTGACGATTTTGGAAATTCTGTATGATGATGGATTTCAACGTTCTTAACACAAATTTCAACAACCCTAAACATTCTAAGATATTATTCAACCATTTTTTGGTATACCGGCATACCAAAAAATGGTTCAATTATGAAAAATCATCAACGTTTTGAATAATGAGACGTGTCAAAATTTCAAAATTGTAACATCACATTTTCACAAACAAAAGTGATACAGAAACAAAATGACCCAAACGTTAAACAAATAAAACATAAAAATCAAAATTAATGGTAAACACTTCAAAATTTCGTATATTAACATCTTTTCAATAGAAACTCTTAGCATTAAGGTAAGTGTGGGTTTTGATGACGATCTTTATATTAAAATAAATATATTTTTTAAAATGACAGATTTTGACATCTATTTTTTCAGTAAGAATGGATATAAATTCAAACAAAAAATTCGATTCATTTCAAGAAGATGCCAGTTATATGGAATCTCAATCAACAATCCTTGGAACACAATCCAACAGCGTAAGAGAAAACAATTCTGTAAATAAAAGTGAAAATTCAAGTGAATCAAGTAACATTGATCCCACTGAGTACAACGAATATAATAAGAAAAATAGCACTGACGATAGTATTAATACAAATAAAACTGATAGTTTCGAGAACAAATCGTCTAAATTTATCAACCAATTCGATCTGTACTCGAACTCTTATCCCTGCACAAGCCACAGGGCTGATACAGACCAGGCTCTGGAAAATGCGAGTGATAATAGTATTTCAAGCAATACGACTATTTTAGGAAGTGAATACAATCAATTGAATCTAAGAAGTCATGATAATTCAATAACTAGTGAAGAAACAAAACCAAAATTGGTAGATGATATTAGTAACTTTCAAAATTCTTATACATTTAGCAACAATTCGTATTTAAGCAACGATGATCCTAAACCAACCATCAAACAACCATCTGAAGAGTCAAGTAATAAGCAGTTGAACAATATTACAGATTGTTGGACAGATCCTAGGAAATGCTATTACATTACCGATGATATTTTGGGAGAAACTAAAAGCTTAAATGTAGCCAAAAAGAAGAGCAAATCAAAAGAAAAGCATTACTATATGTCCAACAAAATTAACACCAATAACGAAGTGCAAACTAAAAAAAAAGTTTATGAACGTCATGAACAAGCAGATAATCAAGAATCTGAAGTAAAATACATTGGACATAAAAACAAGAAAAACAGTAATATTTATAAAATATTTTTGAAAACTCAAAGCATACATACAAGAATCAATAACTTCACTTATGGTAAACACAATACGAACAAAGACAGCAGTGTTAAATACATTTTTGAGTTTTATAAACAAATTTTGAAAACATCCCAAGATAATTCATCAAGACTATATACCAGTTTAACAAGTAAAAAATCAGAACAAGCTTTATTTGCAAGTGATGGAGGTAGTAAATCTGCAGTTGTTTTTATAGATGGAAACAGCAGGCATTATAGTACCCCAAAAATTGTTGCAGATTTAACGAAAAACCTAATTTTGGACACATCTTGATATTCAAACCGATAAATTCTGTGACTATACCTTAAAACAAAGATCATGTACTAGAAACTGATAAAGATAAGCTTGATCAAAATCAATGGATGAGTATCTGAAGATCTGAAATCAAAATTGAAAATCAGATCAGATTGTATACCGCAATAAAAGTCATCAGTTTAATGAGTAGTTACATTAATCTTAAATAATTGATGAGAAAACTTCAAGGTAAGTTGTTACTAGTTTTTTCTTCGACGTAGTATAACTAATGGCGAACAAAAGAACGAAATGAAAGTATTCATATAAAAATAGTAAAACAATACATACAAATTTAGGAAATTTCAAAAATAACAGACAAGATACTTATAAAGTTAGACGTCTCCGAGAACAATGCAGAAGAAAATTCTCGATTAGTAATTGAAAACGATGTATTAAAATTTAGTTGGCTGTTAACAAATATAAAGAAAAACCACTAGCAACGTACAAGCAATATAACAAAAAAACTGAAGACGATGATAAACTCAATGAAAATCCAAAATAGCCTGCAGGAGAAGATATTGGCAGAAATTGGAAAGTTGCAGATCATGGTTTGAACCAGAGAAGGCAAAACTCCTCTAGAAATCATAACATTAGCAACTTGGAACAAATTATCACAAAGTAAGTAAGTAATTTAATGCATAAAAATACTGAAACATGCAGTTGCAGCAAAATACGCATTTTGAACATTTTCTGTGATAAATAATATTTCTATTTTTACAGGAATAGGTACTCATGACGTCTCAAGCTATTAGAACATACGGTGATTTGAATATATAAATCAGACTACTAAAATTGAAAACTGAATAATTAAAAGTTTTGATTCAAAGGTTTCCAATATAATATTTCACTAAATAAAATTGACTCCAAGCCAATTTAATCCGGGGTGCTCGTCAAAACTCCGTTCAAAGCAAGTAAAATACCAAATTGGAATATTAAATATAAACATCTTCTTGTTACAGCGGAAAATTTTGCCCAAATCAAGTTGAAGATTAGATAAATTATGAACCGAGTTTCATTGTTATTATTTATTTAGAAACCAGAATAAATGAGACGTTCATCGAGGAAACTAGTTTTGATATTCAAATTATTTCGAAAGAAAAAAAACTAAACAATTGTGATAAATAAGTCACAAGACCACCTTTTTGAAGTGTGCATTTACGCGTAGAACGACGTTTTATAATCATTTGCATTATGAGAAATCAATCGTGTGATAACACATATTTACTTCTTTTCCATTATTTATAGTTCACTTAGAAATATTTTACTTCTCACATTATTGCATCCTTGCTTCTATGTCCTGCATCACAGCTTTTAGTTATCTTCTCAAGCAGTCGATCATCTGCATTCATCGTTCTAATTCAAATAATTCTTTTATTTTACCTCTGGCGACGCAGATCAAATGATGTTCTCTTTCCAATATTGCACTGATACAGTTTCATCTTTTTCTTAAATTTGTATAAAGTAGAGCACTTTCTATTCTCACTAGTGCAATTTAACCAGTCCATTTTATCTTTCATCACGACCATATCTCAAAATCAACCAGGTAGTATGTGTAGACCTTCCTTGAACTCCATATTCAGTTTGAACTCCATATTCAGCTAATCAGTTGCATTTGGCCCATACGATCCTCGCCCTGATCTTTCCAATATTTTTCTACGACTCCTTCTGTTGTCTTTTTCTTTGCAAATTTAGTTGTTATCTCTCCTGTCATTTCTATAATTCTACAATTTTTAGATACTGATTCTGCTTTCACTTCTCCATCTTGAAAATATTTGATAGCTTTGTCTCTGTAGTAGTAATCAGAAAATTATGATTTGAGTAGATATAGTCTTTGGGAAATGTTAACGCCATACACTAATTTTAGATCCGTTTCTGATAATTACGTGGTCAATTTGGTGTAATTTTCTCTTCCGCTTGTTAAATGAAGTGTTTGTGATCCAGAGATTATTTCTGCGCTACTACCAGTTCAGCTTATTTGCCAACCGTTCTTCAACCCGCCCAAAGTTTTCCATTATCCTTTTCCCCCACAATTACGTTAAAATTTTCCATGATGTCCATGTTGACCTTTGGTCCAGAATGTGATGAACATTTTCATATATCAGTTCGAAGATTTTCAACACGTCTGTGTCGGCAAGGTTCGATATACAGTAGAACCTCGATTAATCCGACCAATTGTCGTCGATAGGCATTCGGATAATCGAAAATCGGGATAATCGAATGTATAAAGAATATTGTTATGTATTTATTAAAAATAACAAATACGTACATAGATATCAACTAAACTAATGTTTATTAAGAATTTGAAACTTTCTTATGTATGTACATATATATTTTCTTAAATTACATTCATATAGTCATACATATACTAAACTGCAGCATCAATCATGCAAAAAATCGAATTGTAGATATTTACATACATATAAATTGGTCGCGGTTGGTAGTCCGGATAATCGCAAATCCGTATAACTGAGGACCGGATAAACGAGATTCTACTGTACTTATATGAGAAAATGATTGAACCACTAAACAGAATACATCCATAAAAATCCCAAAACATGTCAAGACAATACAAATTGTGCTATAATCGTGAAACCCCATTCGATAATAAATTTCATACAATAAATGAGCATATATTGACTTACTCACCAACATATAAAAAATGAATAAACTTAACCTTGTTTACTTACCAATCACCAAATGATGCAATAAATTTCTTCAATACCGTTATTGGACAGAAACAGTTTATTTCTGTACATCTCTACACATAAAATTTCTATAAAACATGTAACAGAACACTCAAATTAATTTTATAATTGGTAAATGGCGGTGCATCGAAAAATCAAATTCCGGTGGATTTTTGTCCCTTTTGTGACCATCTGCGAGCAGTTTTACTACAATGAAATTCGTTTTGGCAACTTTTAGTATGTCTGTGACCTGAAGAAAAATAAATCTTTGTATTAGTATTTATTATAATTCGGAGATATATTAACCATTTCCACTCGCGAATTTGCGAGATTTATATGTATTTTGCCGCCAGAGCGGCGGCTTCCAAGTGGAAAGAGTTAATAAATTACTTATCAATTATCACAAACCTCATTATCGGGTGTCGTAATCGTTTCCAAAAGTGACCTGGCTTGATGAAAATGTTTTACCGCACTTGCATACAATTCAGATGCTTGGTCTGCTACCTCGCAAGCAGCGTTTCCGCTTGCAGCTGCGTTAAATGATCTTCTAGCAGCTGCTGCAGCCAGTTGCTGTGATCTCATCTCACGAAATTCTGCGTAGTGCACAGGTGGTGGTGTTCCGAGCAGGGCCAAAGGAGCCATACGGTGCTCGTAACGAACTCGTTCACTATCGAACGGAGATTTAGGTGTAGGCAATCGACCTTCGACTTGCAGCCCTAATAACGCCTAAAAAAGTGACATAAACTAGTTGGTATTGGTATTTTGCCTTAAGGCAAGTTACATGAACTTCCCGAATTTTCACAAATCAATGATTTTTATAATTGAACCAGTTTCCGTAGGACTTCAATGGTTTAGTATGTTTATAAGACCAAGTACTCTGTCTATAGATATACCAAGTAAATCGTCTGATTTTAATTTTAACAAACATCAAAAAAAAACTACTCATTTTCTCAAACTTTGAAGATTTTTTAAAATTAAACTACTTGCCGTAAGGCCGTAATATTTCAGTAAGTTCTATAAGATCATGATATATATCGCCAAAAAAGTTCTATATAAATCGGCTTAAATTTTTTTAACAGTTAATTACAAAAAACGGCTTGATAGATTTTCACCTAAAACTAATCAGTATCATTCCCAACTAATATCTTTCGAACAGTTTTTGATTTTTTAAAATCGATTCGGTAGTATGAGCTTAAATGTGGTCGAAAAGTTTAACACTTTTTTCCAAATTACAGAGAAACGGCTCGGCCGATCGCTGCACAAGACTGAGAAAAGATAATCCACATCAAAATACATCGATTGGCTTTTAAATTTTTGAAATCGGTTCAGGCGTTTTTGAGCAAACGTCGATGAAATTTCTAATTTTGACAAACGCCAAAAAAACGATAGTAATTTTTGCAAACTTTGACGAATTTTTTAAATTAAACGACTTATCGTAGGGCCGTAATATTTTAGTATGATATATAAGACTATGGTATCTACCATAAAAAAATTCATAAAAGTCGTCGAAAATTTATTTTTTAACACTTTATTACAAGTAAACGGCCGGCCGACCTTTAATCAGGTCGATTGCCAACAAATATCTTCGAACGGTTATTGAATTTTCAAAATCGATTCAGAATTGCGTGATAAAACGTAGACAAAATTTTTTTTCACTTTCCTGCAATTTAAAAAGAAACGGCTCAGCAGATCGTCGAACCGATAAGCCGTTAACTTATAAAATGTGTATGACTAATGTACGTGCATACAAAGCCAACAAAAAGACAATAAAAAAAAATGGCTAAAAGGTAGACAATATTTTACAATTCTCTGTTTATTCTGAAGAAACGGCTCAGCCGATCGTATAAAAAACTAGCTATCACGAGTTTGTCAAGATTCATCGAATGTCTTAAATTTTCAAAATCGATTCAGCTCTTTTTGAGAAAACGACAATGAAAGGTCTAATTCTCAGTAACTTTAGATAAAAATACTTTCGTTTTTCAAAACATTGATGAATGCTTAAAATTAATCAATAATAATTAATTATATATAAAATTAAACGATTTGTCGTAATTCTGTAATATTTTAGTATGTTCTGTAAGACCATGATCTCTATCGTTAAAAAAAATTTCATAACAATCGTGCAAAACAAAATCACCAACAGTTAATTACGACAAAATGGCCGGGCCGATGTTTACCAAAAACTAATCAACACGATAATCAAACAATATCTACCAACCAATCTTGGAATTTTTAAAATCGATTCAGAATTGTGAGTCAAAACGTGAACGAAGAATTTTACATTAAGGAAACGGCTCGGCCGGTTGTTGCAAAAAACTAATTAGCGTAAGTCCTTGTCGAATTACAAATATTGCTTTTAAATTTTTAAAATCGGCTCACATACGCACGCCGCCATACATACACACTTACTTTTTCAAATTTGGCCTTGTTCAATTCAGAACGTTGAGAAAACAAAATTGGCAAATCGGATTTTCTCATTAAAACAATGTAATAATAATAATTAAGTTAGCATCTAGTCAGTATTTAATTATTATTACCTTATAATATCCTCCACACATATTTTGCATAGCTTGATACATTATAATTTCCCTTCCATAAGATCTAGTTTCTTTTTCTTGGCTTTTTGCGACTACCTTTGGCAGCTCGTAATGCTTCTGCTGATAATTGTTCACTCAAGTAATTGTCAGCTCGACTCAAAGCAGACACCAGCCATCCATATAAAAATTCATAAAGATACCTATAGTAAAAAGTTATTATAATGTTAATAAAAATTAGATAAAATACACAAAACTTTTTTAATAATAAAGTATGCTTTATACTTACCAGAATATGTAATGATATTCATGTACACTATATAATTCGAGTTCCAATCCTGACAGGAGATACATAGCTATGACCCTAAAACAGTGATATAATATCCAAGTAGCTAAACATGCTAAATGTGTTTTACCTACGTCATGATGAATGGTCAAAGGATGTAAAAAAGCATCAACACGTTCAGCCTTAAAATATAATTAATAAACATTATTTCAGTTACAAATATTGATTTTTCATTTGTTCAAATACAAATAAATATGTTTATAGTTTATATCATTTAGTTTATATTACCTCATCATGAATAGAAGAAAATTCTTTTATTAATCTAGCTAGTTTATCTCTTTGACGGGCTCTATTGTGTCCACATAATTGCAGGAGATTTGCAAATGGTCGTGCGCAATAATTAAAAAATGATTCTATG